AAAAAAAAATTCATCAAATGCAGCCAGGTTCACTGCTCATTTTTTTATATTACTGTTTTATATTTACTCTCATCTTCAAAGCATAACCCTAAGCCATGGAGTGTTCCTGTTCTTATACTCAAGACATATTTTTTACATATATCCTAATTCATTTTTTTATTGATATTGTAAAATTAGCATTTACTCAGCATTGCAAAATCAGCAGATAGTGTGGGAACTTGGGGATTTTTTGTGTGTATATCTCTTTACTAGGCAATAAATAAAATGTGCTTTTGGGGAATTTTACTAATAAACTCCCATTTAAACCAATGTTTTACCTTTCAGCTTCCCTTCAGATAGTTTTAATAAAATTATACACATCTGACACACAATATCCAGGGGAATTTGCCTCCTGATAATGGGCCACAATTGGCAATTAAGAACATGCAAATTATTTTACTAATTGATATAAAATGGAAAGGAAATACATAAGGTACATACTGTGGGAGAAACTGGATCTTGAAAAGCAAGACTCATTTCATGACAGTAGAGGTACAGCAGCAGCCTTTCACACTTCTGTATCAAGCAAAATAGATACCAAGTTATCAGAGATTCCTACATAATTTGTTTTTTAATAATGGGGCTGCAAAAGATATTGAACAGATGTTTGGTTCTTCTCCAGCCCCCAGCAGAAGAGTGATTACAAAAGTTTTATTTGGAAGCAAGTTTAACAGTCTTCACCAATGACCTGTAGTTACTTTTCTGCAACACATTTATTGTATCTCAAATGCATTTTATGACACCTTATGCAGTTACCAACAGTATCATTCAGTATTAATAGAGGTCAATGGATGTTGCAGAGAACACATAAAGTATGCATGGCTCTTTGTACTCGACAAATACTCAGAGATACCAGTAGTATTTCTCTGTCTTGAGCATAACTTCTCTGTAAGTATAAGGCATATACCGCTTTTCATTAGCAATAGGGGAGAGTATTTTTCCTGTGTACCCAAATAAATTAAACTGGATCACAAGCTTTAAAGGATATTCTAAAAATTGCTTTTTTGATTTTATGCTTGCTGATCCTTCATCAGAGTATTTAGAGAATTTCTTATAATCTACATTTAAAGCAAAAAACAAACAGATTTTCCACTCTGGACAGTTAATACTTGTAAACAACAGTTCTACAGTTGAACTAAGCTCCCAAACAAAACATTAATTTCAGTGTATTTACACAAGTTACTAACTGAAACCAAATAAAACATTGCTGAAAAAAATCCAATATACCTCAGAATTACTTTAAAATCAATTAAGTTTTAAATAACAAAAACAGAAATTAAAAGACAAAAAAGATTTTAACGACCAGTTCAGCTGTTTGTGCAAAAGGCAAAAATTTTTCTCTTGATTCAGAGCTTTAAGGAAAAAACAAAGTTGAAGTCCCACAGTTTGTTTTATAACTTTTCCACTAGGATATTCAGAGATGCAAAAGGACAGCTGTTTTTCTCAGAGACTTGTGTTAATCTCTTCAGGAGATTAGTGTTGCATTTTTGTACATCTTCATGAGAAAATAACTTAATTTTTAAAAGGATATTACTGTAATATTTTAATAACTAAAAATTAGTTGATAAAGTCAATCTATACTAAATTTGGAGAACAGAAAAAAAACAGAAAAAAATACTAAAGGGAAGGGATAGTGTGTATATGCAGCACTTTGTAATTCTTAAGAGTCCAGTCTCAGTTCACAGTATCACATCACAATCACTTCTTTAATTGTCCGAATGTAATATTCAGAATATTCTAAGGAAGGTTGCTTGCTAAGCTCTCATCATATTTAAGTAGTAAGTTCACTTTCTCTTTTAAGTAATAGTTAGTTCACATATTTACTGTTCCTTAAAAAAAAAAATCATACTACAAAATGCAGCAAGGCAATACCCGTTTTACTCTTACCCTACGGTCTATTGGTGCCAAGCCCACAGTGCCTTCCAATTTTCTTTTCTCAGAGCCTTGAGTGGGGTTATCACAATCATACTCAACTTCTGGCTTGGATAGATCCCGGCAGAATGTACAAATCCACTCTCCACTAAACAAGAAAAGCAGATTGGTTAATGTCAGAGAAGTAGCACAGTCTTGAGAGGCTTTCCACATCTGGAGAAATTTTTCTTCATTAGTAGGGTTTGGGGTTTCTTTAAAGCTTGGTGTGTTTTTCTTTTTACAACTAAAAAAGGCAAAGAAAGGGACTGTTGTCGAGGAATACCACATTAGAACCTTCCTATTTAATGGTACTGGCAAAATGGTGTCCACTTTTGCTAGTGCTTAAACCAAAGTTTTAATCAAAGCCTCTTCCTAACTAGAGAGACTGAAGACATATGAAACAGGCTGGACAGAAGAGTGTTAGTGTCATATGACCATAATTGTATTTTCCCTTTGCAGATTTGAACTACTCTATATTGACTACCTTAGACATTTTTTTTCCTGAAACTTGGAATTCTTTACTTACTAAGTAAACTTTTCAACAGTTTCTAAGTTTACCACACAGCACCTAGGAAAACCCTGTAGATGACAAAGTAGGTGACACAGCAAAAGAAGAAGACAAAAGAACAAAATGAAACTAGTTCTACAAGCTGACCATGTCCACAGGCTCCCTTAAACAATTTGTGAGGTTCCTTAAACTTCTAAAAGATCTTCTAAGAGTCTATTGCTTTAATTTACTTTACTATGAATGAAAAAAACTTGCATCTTCACAGATAACCACAAGAGGGCCGAATTGTACTTCCTACACAGGAGACAGAATTCAGCAATAACCAGTTGTTGCAGGATACAAAACATGTATGTTTTTACCCAGAGATCTCTTATAATGATAACAAGATCCTTGGAAATGGGAAACAGTTTCTGTAGCACCTCTGACTTCCTTTCAACAGTAATGCAGAAGACTTTCCAAGTTAAAAAGAAAGGAAAACAGTATGCCAAACTGGTTTTAGAGTAATCCTAAGATTTCCACCATCTGCTAGTTTTAACTTAGCAGCCATTTGCCTTCAAACATCTTTGTCTTCTACTGTGTTAACTCAACAGAGTTATTTATATGACCATTTCACCTGTGAGCCTGGACCAGAATCAAAAAAATAGATATGGGCCATGATCCAAAGATTTTATACAAGAAAACAAGAAACACGTGAAAGATGGAGGGAAGATGTATTTAAACATATAAGAACGAGGAAGCATAGGGTGGAGTCTGATGGCATACAGGAAAAAAGATGAAGTGACCTTGTGAACTGATATGGGAAAACGTTCCATCCACTTGCAGAAGAACAAAAAAAAAATCATGAAAGAAGAGAAGGACTGACACTGCTGACATAATACTAAAGGAATGAGTGTACATTTGGAGAGTCGAATGATAAGACACCAAACTGTATGTTGTCCACTGTTAGAGTTGTGGAAAAAAACCCAAAAAACCAGAAAGTTGAGATTCAAAAATTTGACACATCTGAAGTCAGGAGTAAACTTGAGCTAACTATGGTTCTGAGGTCCAGGAGTACAGCACACTTGTGTTAATATGCACCTTTACAGAGAGGAACCCTTCTCAGAAAACTTATTTCTGATTCCTTTGCCTGCTGGCCATCAGCATCTCAGAGTTCCCACAGAATGATCCAGTGAGAAAGAAAAATTAAAGATATATCCTTGAAGCTCTACCTGTTTAGGTATTTTTCTTTCCTATCAGACAGACAGATGTTTTAGTGTAAGCACTAGCTGTACCTTTACTAGGTTTTGTTTATGACACAAAACTGTAACATAACACCATTTTATTTTCAAAAACAGCCCCATAATTTGAAGTTTCAAGAGGTAAGAGAAACATTTTTATGTGCCATTTCTGGTGATATTTGAAAGAATAAATATCATTGTGGAAATATGCCTGTTCTGAATTGCACATAAACAGGGACTACAGTCAATCTACAAAAACAGGAACTATCGTCAATCTACAAAACTGCAAGCTACTATTCAGAGGGATTACACTAGCAGTTTTAAACAAACCATACTGATATTTAGTAAGAAAATCTAATATTTACATAAAATCATTAAACAATTAACATGTTAAGACAGATTCTTTTATCCTTTACAGCATTTCCAAGTTGGAACGTCACAAACACCTTTTATTTTATCAAAGACATTAATTCCAGAAGCAAACTTCAGCAATACTTTCAATATCAATGACAACCTATTTTCAGTTGTCATCTATATTTTAAGACTGTATTTTGAAACTGGACTGAATACATTGAGTAGTTTCATTGTAACAGCCAATCATGAAAACCTACTGCTTCTTTCAGTGCTAAATGAAATGTCACCAGCAAGTATAAAGCACTACATCTCATGCTAGGAGTGTAGCCATTTTTAATACAACAGTAAATAACACGATACTATATTCATATCTTTGAGTACTTTATTTTATTATTACTAAAAGAAACACTAATTGTTCTGCTGTCTGATAGGTAGGTAATTCTATAGCCCAATGTAGGGCCACAGATAATAATAGATGCCCTAGATATAAGTGATCTTGCCTGACTGCAATAAATTTAAACTCATATTCCAATGCAAATTCTGATTTTCACCAATTAAGGAAACTTTCAACTTCAAGAACTTCAAAGATGACAAAAATCCCTGAAGCTGAAACTTCCGATATGGGGGCTCACAATCCAAAGCTTATGTCTTTTAGTGAAAGTTTATAGGGAATGAATTCAGTCATAATCACCTTGGAAAGTTCATCAGTGTAGGGACATGGCAAGAAAGATGGAATACTTTAGGACATTTTTCACAGCAAAGGAGCTCCCCTCCATTCTGACAAACTGCACACCAGTCTTCATTGGGATCATCCTCTTTTCTGCCCTCCGCTATGTGAGGGGGGCCTAACCATCCTGTCTTCCCACTGGACATATTTTCCTGCAGGATCCCTGGTTGATCGTCTGTGCTGTCTGGGGCATCTGTTCTCAATACAGCTTCATCAGAAGTGGAATTATGATTGCTGTCTAACAGCAGAGAAGTAAGTATGCTTCTTGGAAAGGTCGTCTGAAAGAAAAGCACAGGCAGCTTGGTTATAGTGTTGAAGTGAATTTAAATGTCACTAACAGCAATTATACTGACTGGAATTAGCAATTTACATGCAGTTAGTCATACAGCTTGTAACATCTATGCGAGAATTACTATCATAGCTGTAGCTTCAAGCAACTAAACACAAGAAGTTAGTCATAAAGAGCAAATTCTGACATTATAAATACTCTTTCAGTAATAAAAAATAAAATAAAACTTTGATGCCCCCAATAGTACCCTTAGTCTTATGTACTGCTTAATAACTAGGAACTTCTCCTAGAATCACATAAACATTTGATGTTTACAAATGTTTTATAATTTCTTTCATGGATTTCAATGGATGAAAATAGTGTGATCAAAACAGTTTATTAATTGAACTGACATTAAAAATAGTCTGATTTTGAATTTCACCTCTTCCTTTTATGCCAATACCTTCAGATATTTTTCCCTGAAAAATAAATCCCCAACATAGTACTTGTAAATTATTTTACATGCAAAATACCCTCCACTACCAAATGGAAAAGCAATCTTTAAAGAGAGTTGTTAACATTACATTCTGAGGCCGCGATTCTTCATCTGTTTCTTGCTTCACTACAACAATTGGGAAATCAAAATTCTCATTTGTTGGACTAGACTCCTGTTTAATTCTGATCGGCTCCAACATGACAACTGGGACTCTGTGCGTAGAATCAGCTCCTGGTGGTTTGCTGGAAGAGCTAGAACTTCAAACAACAACAAGGCAGGAAAAAGGAAATTAAGAACTTTAAACAACAAAAAGAGGCAGGAAAAAGGAAACTAAGAGTCATGACAGGACAACTTCTGTACAGTGATGCTTTCTGAGACCTCAGGATTCTAATCGATTTTCGGTTCTTCAAATCCTTTCATAGAATACAATTCTTTATCTTTTATGTAAATTGAAAAGACACTACAGGAAGGGAGGACTTAGTTCCAGAACTACAGAGTTGCTCACGATTTTACTTCGCATTAATGAAAGATTTGCAAAATAATCTCCAATTCTTTTAGGTTATAAACAGAACAGCATTTCCACTGAATACCATTCCATTGAGAGGAGATATAGCTGTATCTTGGGGGAAGATCAGTGCTTCTCTAGAGCTGAATTCATCATTCTAAATAGCAAATAAGCATATAGAACACATATTTTTAAATTATCTTGACAGAGCTTCTCATAATCTTTGAGTTCAAGAGAAAGTAGGGCCGTGCTTTGAGGATTGGACTCTTGTCTTTGTTCATGTGTATAGATATGCTGCAACTGAACTAGTATATATACTAGTTATATACACATGTGTGTATATATATATATAAATATAGTAATAAATAGTAAATAGTAATAAAAAATTTTAAATCCAAAAGTGAATGAATCCAAGTGTCAGCAAATAGAATTTCAAACATTTAAATATTTGGATGCCTGAAGTCCTTCATAGTATTTACTAACAAACTGAATATAGGAAGAGGTATTCTATACTATAAAGCATCTCCACGTCCAATTCAAGTAGCATGAATGTCATCTGATTTTTCTCTGTGTGGAAAAATTAATTCTGTTTAAGACACATGCCCTAATTTACTGAAAAACATTAACAGACCTGCTCTCTTGAAACAACAATGTCTAAGTCTATTTGTTCATTAATTCAAAATATCCCGTCACTAAGGGATAAAACATCTTTATGGACATTCAGATATCTAGTGCTCACTTACCTGACTATATTATGGCAGAAAATTCTTAATAATCGTCTTTGCAACATTAATTCCTAAAATCTTAAATCATTTATGGTTCCACAAAGACCTTTAGTATGCAACTTTTTCCTTAGCTGATTTTGCAGAATTTCAAACCTGATTTACAATAGGCAACCTATTAATAACACAAATCTAGCCATCATCTACAGTTACAGCATTTTTAGGTCTGCTATTAATACATTAGGAATGAAATTACTACTTTTAGATTGCAAAGAGTGTTATAATAAGCACCAGACCCGATCTCTTAACAGAGAAGGTGAGACAAATTAACTTCAACATGGATCATTGACAGAAGAGGCTGGGGCTATACACAGCAAATTCTATGGGGATGGAAAATATGCTTTTTTTCTCTCACACTCAGTTCTTACCTCTCTCTGCTTCCAACACTGGAGGCGCTGGGTGAACGAATTGGAGGGTTTATGTTTGTCACACTCACTCCTCCTAGGAAAGAGGAATCAGATTAGAACAAAACACAGAGTTGTGCCAAATTTGAGATTCCAGTCAGTGAAATACACAAATTTTGGGTCAAGTTCCTGCTCTTGAGTTACTCATTTATCCCTATTTAACCCATATCTCATTTAATGCAAAATCATGAGAAGATGAGAAGCATGGGATAATGGAGGGGAGAAGATGACCAAAAGGGGCCCACCTCATCTAAGTAGGCTGTTTACAGATCCTGAGAAACAAGATTGGGTTATTTGTGCTGTCCACATTTACATGGATGCATTTGTGGATACATTGTCCTGTCGTGGTAATCTGTCTGTGGCTGTACTGTGCAGAGCCACATTAGATTCCTCCACTGCAACACTTAAATCACAAACACAACCCAGTTACCTGAGAGGCCAGGTGATGGCACGGATGAATTTGGTGACTGGACTGTTCTGTTCGAAGGGGGTTTTGGCTGATTCTGTTCTGCAGCACCATCCTTCCTTACCATGTTATCCAGTGTGATATTTCCTGAACAGTCAATCTAAAAGATCAGGGTGGGGGTAGAGAAGGAGTTAAGTGTTGCGTGAGGGAAAGAAGCACCTGCCATATATTTGTTATATTGGAGCTGAAGACCAAAATGCATCTCACAACTTTAGCCATCTAAAAAATGAGGTGGCTACTCTAAACAGGTGATCTTGCTTGCTCTAAAAAGCAAAGAAATGGCCAAATTCAAACAATACTTCCTACCATTATTTTAAGACAAGATGATTCTAGAGGCGTCTATTTTTCTCTATCAGCTACAGGGAAGGTTTACATTGGAGGGCTAACTTACACACACAGAGATCAGAGAAACTGAAAGTGTTGTTTCCATAACCTTTTTCCAGATACTCATGTTATTAATTTCAACAATAATAAACAATTCACAAACTATTCATTAATTTACTAATATTGAACAGGATGGGATGAATCTTGACGGACATTCAACTCCATCTGTCCTACAGATCTTAAGGGCAGGAGCCATGAGTATCCACTCAAAATAACAACTATAAGGCAAGACTTGTCTTTTCACCCAAGGCTCAGGCTAGAAAACTGAAATCTATTTTAGGGTCTCACACTCCATCATCTTAACTTCCTGCAAGAATTGCACATTCTGTATTGATAAAAAGAAATAAGCTTCTGAAATGTTAGACTTCTTGTAATAAATAAGATCAATGTTTGGTCAGAAAATAGGTCACCTTGATATTAGTATTGCAAATTACCCAGACACATCACAAATCTACTGGTAGTAACCGTGCTGACCACTGAAGCTTGCTCTACATTCACAAGAGGGTATTGAAAGCACCTGCTTGCTCAGCATATTTACAGTGATTTGGGCAATATATCTTAATAGCATAAACATAACCACATACACATACAAGTAGAAGAATTTGAAATGACACTGCACAAAAAAAAAAAATCAGCATGCTAAAACTTCTCAGAGATTCAAGAGAGTTTCATGGTTGTGCTGTGCAGTACATCCTTTTACCCTGACAGATACTGTGACTGTCATATGTTGTTTAAAAAAACAGAATATTTTGTTAGAGAGTTTATCAAGAAGAACAAAACACAAGAGGGGGAAACATGGATTAACAGTGAGTTATGACTATCAAAACAGGAGAAGCCAAGTATCTACAAATTTTAGACAACAAAAACAGGCTCAGCGGTTATTTAAAAAAATAAAATCAACTGAGCTCAACAGCTGTAATGTGGTCTTCTGACAAAGATGTACCAATCAGAAGAAACTAGAACAGAACTTTAGAAGCAAAAAAAAGACCGTTTTATAATGCTCCTTCCACTACCTGCCCATATGTATGTTAGAAGATATATGAAGAAAAGTACTAAAATAAAATGAAATAAGGAATATCTGAGCCCAGTATACCAACAGTTAATATCTTAATAAGAGAAGTCCTTTAGATAAGATACAAAAAAACTTTAAAAATGTTAAAAAATTTCCAGAAATATCATCATCAAATCAGTGTTACCTGTGGGGACTGGTAACCAAATCTAAGTTAAGTCATTTTCATTAATATCACGTGAAAAAAGAAATGAAAAAAGAAAATGAAAAATGATGAAGGTTGAAGGCCAATATGCGGCAATCAAACAATCAATCAATTCAAACAATCACAACCTGCAATGTTATTTTTCCTAGCAATCCTAAACCTCTTATGGCTGTTCCCTGGAACAGTCATGAATACCACCAGTAACATATAGGCAATCCCACAATGTGGTTTTCTGGAAACGTCTGACTTGAACAAGTAGAAGAATTTCAGTCTAACAGGATGCTTACTTCACAAATTTAAAAACTTTTTTGATTTATTTTAAAATAAAATCTGCAAAACATTGCTCACGTGTTACACTTACATCAGGAAGAGATGGTAGATTGTAGGAGCTACCCACTGGAGAACTCAGATCTATCACAGGAGGAACATATGTCTTCCCATCACATCCCACAGCACTGGTGATGGTGGGGCTGGAAGGAGTAGATGATGTGCTGCTTGCAGTTGAAGGGGTAGTTGAAGTTTGTCCACTGCCAATCTGCCACTAAGAAAAGATAATAATCCACAATTCGGCACTTTTGTTTTCTGCAGATGATTTTATCTACTATGTATACTGATTCTAATTCATCAGCCAAGCAAGCAGTTTAGTTTAGTAAGCTGAACTCAGGTTTAACATTCTGATTTACTCTGAAGTTATTTCATCTCAAGAAACAATCTTACAAGACAAGCAAGGATGACAAGTAGCTGACAACTATGAACAAAAGAAATGAGTGTGAATTCTTCAATTCAAAGCCCCATCTCAATGTTAAGTATCTATTAATATTTCATGCTGCATTGACAGTGTTGTGGGAGGAATATAACTGCTTTAGTGAAATAGAAGCATTAAAGATAATAGGCTAAATCCACAACTGCTCTAGTACTTTTATTAAGTAAAAATCTATAGGGTCACATGAATGCTGCTTCCCTTAACAACTTAAAGCAATTAAGAATTTGAAATGCTGACTGGGCTTCTATCCACCTATATGTTTATCAACATGGTATAATGTGTATGGGCAAGTTGGACTACATTTCATTCTCATTTAGACATACACAGTTTTCAATGACTTTAATGGAGTTTCATGGTAACTAGGCAAAATTTGACTCTGCTCAATTCCTTTTCAGTTAGTCATTCAGTTCACTAGTTCAGTTTCAAAAAGACATTACTAGATAATGAAATACTGGATAGATAGGTTTGCAGACAGGGCAATCTTCTTTTCAGAGGCTCTCAATAGAAACGATAGAGTTTTTGTTACTACAGTTCTCTTAATTATTGTGCAGCTTTCTTCAATTTAGTTGAAATTACTTCTCAGATATCATTAAGTACTGCTGACATGTGAATGATATTACTCCATTTCTCAGGTCACAAATGAAGTTCATTTAATTCTCTCCCCACACCTCTGGTGATATCTAACAACTCTTCTGTTGATACATATTTTAATAAGGTTTGCCTTGCTGAACAGACAGAAAATATCCAGTTTTCTGTCTCCAGAACTCCAGTACTTCAGTTCAGCTGCTGATCAGCTGGGTATTGATCATTCGCATTCAGCAGAGGTCCTACAGTTGTGGAATTTCTTTCCTCTCCCCACCTTTAAGAGTTCAGATTGGAAAACTCCAGAGAATGGTGGCAGCTACAGCTTTTAAAGCTTTTATCTAATTACTTGTGAAGTCACTATAATTAGACTAAATTTTCTATTCTATCTAGATATTGACTGCAGTGTGCAGACCATGCTCATGTTAAGTTTTGCTTAAGTGGCCAGAAGTCATAGTGACAGCAAAGCAATAGAATGAAACACCTACATATCACACACAGTGGTTCATTTCCGTAATATTTCAGCGACTAGAACACAGAATGAAAGAAATGTGACAAATATTAAGAAAACTGTGGGTATCTTGTCACAGACAAGAAAGCAGTCTCTGTTCTAACTGTAAAGCACACTGGAAACATAATGAAAAGTAAGATGATACAAAGCACATTTGATATTTTATTTTCATATGGGCAGTGAAAAGGGAAAGAAACCCTACCTGTTTTATAGCTTGCTGGGCCAAGAATGCCATCTGCAATGGGTTGGGCTTTAGGCCTTGTCTTGGTATGTTCTGGTTCGAGGGAAATCTCATCTGTGGTGCAGGAAGAGGTGATCCATTGGATTTGGGGTTATGATTCTGAAAATGAATCAGGCGTGGAGGTGGCTGTGGAAAAGGAAATGATTTTGTAAGTAAGTTAGCTGTCTGATATTTATCATGTCTGATATCTATCCAACATTCCAGAAAATTTTACTGATGTATTTTCTGAAATACATAACAAACTACATGTAAACAAACAGTACCACACCATCTGAGTGATTGCAGAACACATACTGAAAATTAATGTTAAAAACAAAATCTAGTAGGTGGCTATGAATTATTTATAATAAATGAGGTTACCAAAAAAAAAAAAACAGTGAAAGCATTTATAACTTTGAAAGCTATATGGGAGAACCACAGTTCCATGCAAAATTGTCTTGAAAAAAATTAAGAGGTTCACTTTATAAGCATCTGACAAAAATACAGAATATATAGCTCGGCAACTGATCTTCATACAGGCTGGTACTATATCATTTGTTGTTGAGCAATGACAGGCTGAGTGCTCATTCATATTCTGCTAGACATGTTTAAATGACTATTCAATTCTCAGTAAAGAAAATATTGCCTAATCCATTTGCATACCTGTGTCCTAAAAAAGTGTGCTACATGAAGCTTTACTTCCTTCTTCTTCACTTAGACGGATAACAGTCTTCTCTGGAATATTCAAAACTTACCTGATGAGAAGTAGGAGATTGCTGCAGGGATCCTGGCATTCTTGGATTTGATAAACCTACTGGACCTGCTCTGCGCTGAGCTTGCTGTCTCTGAGCCATGACCTGTTGCTGCATGTGCTGCAGTCGCAGCTGTGCTAAGCTTATCTGCGTTGGGAACTTGGACAGCTGGTTTGATGGTAAGCTGCTTGGGGGCTGTAAGTTTGTTTCCATCACCGGGCTCTTGGGCATATGTGGTGGGGTTTCCTTGTCCTCAATTACTAGAGAACCTGGTTCAAACAAAATAAACAAAGTAAGTGCTAAACTATTGCAATTAGGAGAAATGTAATTTTTCAAAACTAGCTCCTTTGATACCATGAACTCATTGTTCATTATTGTAATGTAAAGGATGGGTAAACATGAGATAGAGGAGAACATTTACTTTGTTGGCCTGCAAGTTTGCACTATAAGCTTGCTTGTATTTTATAATGGAGAAAAAGGAGATAGTGACAAATTATCTTGTGCTGTAACCTTCTCTGTGAAATAGACTTTCCTAAGGAGATGCCTCATCTGTCTGAAAAAGCAAGTGAAATTTTAATAAAAGAGAGAGCACCCTGACTCAACCCTCTGAGCTAAAGATTTAACTATATCATAATACTTAATGGCATTGTGATCCCTTTTTTGTCTCTGAACCAACATCATGAAATACGCAGGTAATGTCTTCAGCAGCTACACATCACAAATTGTAGGATGTGATGGGCACATCTGAGAGATAGATTCTCTCTCTCTCCACTGATTTAGAGGGAATCTTGACTAGACAATGTTTGCAAGTAATTTTAACCAAAGAGATATATAGCATGGTTATACAAAGCTCTCGTGTAGCATTCTGGTTAGATTGATTTAGATTCTAGGGAATGGCAAGCGCATTTCACAAGAAAGACAGAAAGAAGCTTAGCTTATTTAAAGCAAAGAGTGAGGTGGGGAAGGTCTTTTTTTTCTAAATCCATAGTGGGGCTAACTATTAAGGAGAAATAACAATCCTAATTTAAAGATTAACTTTAGTGCAAATGTGTATAAAGCAAAGGGGGAGATCTCATCATCTGTTGAAGATTTCACTACAGCTTCTCCATAAAAGAGTGGGGATACACATTTCACTCCCTTGGTCTCCCAGAGAGGTAGGACCTCTTCCAAGAAGAGTTCACCTTGGCTGCAGAACAAGACAGTTTGAGAATCCCTGTTGCAGCAGAACCTGACATCAGCCTCCTCCAGCTTTCTCCCCAAATCTATGCATCCCTGTGCACCTGGTAAAATAGAGCCTGGAACAGCTTAAAGAAGAAGGAAAGCGCAACTTTTTTTCTCTTTCATTTCAAGACCAGAGAATCAGTGCAAGTAGCACCATTCAATTTTCTGGTGATGATTCAAAGGAAAAAAAACATATTGTTAAGTTGTCTGACACTGAGAGAGTACAGGTGAGCCAGCATGTTGTGGTGCAGAGAGGGGCAGAATGCTGCCTCAGTTTTGATATCATGCTTTTACCATGGCAGGTGCATTAAGAAGAGCATCTCTAGCAGGTCGAGGGAGGTGATCCTGCCCCTCTACTCAGCCCTGGTGAGGCCGCATCTGGAGTACTGTGTCCAGTTCTGGGCTCCACAGTACAAGAGGGATGTGGAGCTGCTGGAGAGAGTCCAGCGCAGGGCTACAAGGATGATCAGGGGCCTGGAACATCTGCCCTATGAGGAGAGGCTGAGTGAGCTGGGCCTGTTCAGCCTGGAGAAGAGAAGGCTGAGAGGGGATCTAATCAGTGTATATAAATACCTCAAGGGAGGGAGTGCAGAGGACGGGGATGGTCTCTTTTCAGTGGTGGCCACTGATAGGACTAGAGGAAATGGCCGGAAACTGAAACATCAAAAATTCCATAGGAACTTAAGGAAAAATTTCTTAACAGTGAGGGTGACAGAGCACTGGAACAGGCTGCCCAGAGAGGTTGTGGAGTCTCCTTCTCTGGAGATCTTCAAAACCCGCTTGGACGCAGTCCTGTGCCACGTGCTTTAGGTGTCCCTGCGTATGCAGGGGGGTTGGACTAGATGATCTCTAGAGGTCCCTTCCAACCCTAAGCATTCTATGATTCTATGATTCTATGATTAACAAAAATATTAACTATATGAAGCATGAAGATAAAAATCCTACCAATCTCTCATTTCCTTATTACTTCCTCTTTTAAGCGTATTGGTTTCTAAGAAAATATGCACAGAAAGCTCCTCCACCCTAAAAAATCCTGTCATATCTCAATTTAGTAATAATTCACATAGTCATCACCACATGGTTCACATCTAGAAACAGAGACTCACTGGTTCTTTTCCCAAAGAAAGTGAAAGATAAAGAAGGAACTTGTTAACCTTAAGGTGCTACCATAACACTTCCGTTCTCTACTTCTCTACTTCTCTCCGTTCTCTACTGTAGATGAATCTGTATTTGCACCTCTCTCTAAATTTGTAGGGCTGACTGCAAGTTCTGATGAAAGGCAGAAAAGGGGCCATGGGTATCTGTCAAAGACATTCTACACACTACTGAAAAAAAAATGCCCATCAAGATAACAGTGGACAGAAAGAATAATAAATAGTGAAAATTCTAAAGAGACCTCATTAGGGTCATGAAGATGAGGTGTGTCTGCAATCTTACTGAAAATGGATTCTCTTAAATTCCTTCCTGGAAAATCAGGAAAGTGAAACTCACAGGTGACCGTCAAACACAAGTCTCTAAAAGTAGTGTTATTTTCTATTCTGTTTTTCTTTGGAGTTTTCCTTTTCTCCCAGGCTTACTGTTCAGCATGACAGGTCAACAGAGATTCTGAAACATGTTAAACTGCTGCTACAGACTCCAGCAGTTTGGGAAGATGGGACTGAAGTAGGAGAACAGGCTGTAAGATGCAGATGTTAATTCTTAAAGTAGGATTATGGGATGTGTTCCTCGTATCAGAATCCAGAAGGCATGTGTATTGCGCAGGAAGGTGAAAGCTGCTACTTCCACCATCACAACTAGCATTCAAGCAAGGCAAGTTTATGAATACCTACAATAGAATATTAACAAGCAATGCTTTCTCCATATAGTGCACTTAAAAAAAAAAACTTTTATTTTCTATAAGTAAAGAAATTTTTTAAAATTTTAATAACAACAACAAAAAGTAATAAAAAATGGGGAGGATATTCATCCTAACAGTAAAAAAGTTGCTTCTAAAAGAGGACCAAGACTCCGAAGGGCTAACAAACTACATCATACCTAGATTGAAAATATTCTGAGCCCAGAAGCTAGGATCACAGTGAAACTGGATGGTATTGTTAGTCACTGGCGAAGCATCACACCTTGCTCGGAGAAGGTATCGAAGACGGTAAGTAATCTAGAATAGGAAGGAAACAGAAGTTTTTCTTCTGGGGTCAAAGCTGTGAATCTGAACCATTTTCCCCAACACCATATCTATCCACCTCTATCTCTTATAGCCTGCAGCATTTTATCAGATATCTGAAGAAAACATAAAAAAAAATACCGCAGATTCTTGACTAAGCCATGAGAAAATAAAGAAAAAAAATTGTGATCCAATTACAGGAAGTGAAAATAGAAGATCCTGCATTTCCCCCAATACTACCACAGATTTCCTTTGTCAGACTTGTACAATCCTCTGGATAAAACACAGTTAATCTATCTTTTTCTTTGGTTTTTGATTTCAGATTTTTTTTTTTTTAGGATTTCTGTTTCACCATCAGTCAGTTTAATGAAAGCAAGTACCATTTTAGCACCGAAATATTTAGTTTCATAGCTGTCTGTACAGAGAAGCAAAAACCTCGTCTTCATTTTTATAAATTAAAAAAAAGTTATTTAAGTCTTCTAGAGGAATGTTAGTCTGCTAGAACAAGGCTATACATTAATTGCTTGATATCAGACTTTGTAGGATATACACTTTCTTTGAACACAAAAGCTGCAAAAGGTAATGAAAAGAACCACACCAGTGATGTAGCACACCCGTAACTTTGCCCAGTGCTCCTCCAGGGATCATGTCCACTTCTGTAGGGTACAATTTTAAGTTAGGATGGCAGGACAGAATGAGGACTGGAGTGATAAATTATTAAATATATTCCATATTTGAGAGAAAAACATGAAAAATTAAACAGGTCTTCCAATTAGTAGAAGGTCATCAGCAAGCTTAATTTCCTGGTAATATAAGAGCGGTATCTTCCTAACTTTACCAAGCGTTTGCTGTACAGCAGTGCTGTGCTGCTTCCACTGGAAACTGCCCATTTGGAAAAATTCATGACATGTTCCAGCTGTTTAGAGAGACCTGCCACTTCCTGTTGCTGCTGCAGAAGTTTCATCCGATGCTCTTTTGCCAGAGTCTGCAAGTGGAAATGCAATTCCAGTGAGCGAGTTCAATTTACACATAAAATGCATTAGTTCTCTCTTTTGTAATCTACAAAGACCAAATGTTTTCATTGTATTCTTCTAGGAAGTTTTCTTCCCAGACTGCAGCCATGCAACAGAAACGTCTGTATGCATTTTCAACATATCAGCGTTTGGTGTGCATGGATTCCCATTGACTTTTACGACACACATTTATATATATAAATATAAATGCCTCTTTACACACATTTTTTTTTAGAAGGATACTTGGAGGTAATATTTTTCTAGCTCTCCACTCTAGACAATTCTCTCCTGTGAGAGGATATACTATCAGATTGCTGAATTTATGACACTTAAAAATCTGAAGGAAAGACTTTTCATGCATAATATAAAGAATTATGACTTAGAAAAGCATGGAAATAGAAGCTAGACTTGGACACAGCTCTGATCTACAAAGAGAAAATACAGATGAGAATTCAGAATATTTGTCCAAATGGCTTTTGTGTGAAACACTTCTCTGCTTTGGAACTGTGATGGGTCACACATTTCTGTGCCACGTGCTCTAGGTGACCCTGTGTGTGCAGGGCGGTTGGACTAGATGATCTCTAGATGTCCCTTCCAACCTCAAGCATTCTATGATTCTATGATTCTATGCATGTCTAATAGTATAAATTGATTTCATTTTAATCTGAATCTGCAATACACTAACTGACATTTCTGAAAAATATAAATGCATTTACCTCCAACTGATGCAGCAGAGCTTTTCCCTTTTTGTTTATTTCTACCATCAGTGTAAATATGGCAACTTTAATATCCTGCTCCACCTGCTTTTGATTTTGATTCACCTCCAGGATTCTGCAAATAAACAGGAAGTACATAAAATTCAGTACTTAATTTCACAAACCCACCCTCCAAGTAGTTTAACAATTCTCTTCTGTTGCCCAGACTATAATATTTCTTTGTTATATTCACCGATTATTACATGCTATCAAATGCTCTTAATCAGGAATATTAAAGGGAGATGTAGTAACAGCAAGCACTGATGACTTTGTACTTGTGATAAAATTAATTTACTGCTAGAAAATTCTGAAGACATTAGCCTGTAAAATTATTCACATCTGTCACTGACAAAAATTAAATGCTCATTGTTATTGAAGTTTTGGATTTTTAATTGTGCCGCATATTTTTGGAACAAACTCAGGAGCGCAGAAGAGTTAACTCTGTTTTCCATCCAGAGTCGAATGGGACTCCAGACACAAAACAACATAGTTGTGCTACTGAAATCATTTAAAGAAAAAAAAACACCATTAATAATTCTCTTGGCACTCAGTTCTCAAATTAGGACTAGGGAAGAATAACTTCAAGTTATGAAAATTGTTCCTGCTAAAAGGCAACAGCACCTAGATGCAACAAAGGAAGTGAAGGGCATTTCTGCTTTCTTCCATCTCCACCACCCTTGAGCAGAGACATGTAAAGAGAGGGGAAAATCTCAAGCTGTGCTCAGCATGCAGGACCCAGTTGAACCAGGTTTTGAACCTTTCTAGGTATTATCTTCAAAATCTGCTGCAGGAGCATTTACAAGGACCTACTACAGTATGCATTTTAAAATTTTATTTTACTCTTAGGATTGTAATACAAGGTGATTAAAGCCCCAAGCATAAAATTATTACGTAAGTCTACAAATATATCTGTCACATATATTATGAAAGCATGAGTCACAACCTTTCACTTTCAAAGATGGATGTACAATAAGTGTGGTGGTCGTAGGGAAAAATAATGCTTGCCTTCTATAGTCTTAATTTTTTCAGCTCATTTTTGTTGAGCTCACTTTATTGCTGCCAATTAAGTCTACAACCTAAACAGAACAGTTGTGTAACAAACCCAAGCACACTGAACAGGGAACAGTCACTAATGGCAAATTGAAATTTTTAGAAGTTCTAAAACATTTCAGAAATGCTCCTTCTGGAAGTATTATAACAGAGAGGTAAAATAAAATCCACCAATCTGAATATTTTAGTAAATTTCAATATACATTAAAATGCCATCTATGTCAGTACCATCTCAAAATCTGATACATACCTATTTTGAATCTGTTTCCCTGTATATTTTATGTATTTAGTCTTCTCCATTAACTTGGTGATCAGTGTCTCAATGATCACTTTCTGGTTCTGAAAAGCTTCTTCTATAAATTGGTACCTGAGGTAAATAACCAGTAAGTATTTACACATGAAAAATGTCTCATATGCGTAATAAAAAAAAATAAAGCAGAATGCTTTATAAAAATCTCCTTTGCCAGAAGAAAAATATGCAGCAGTCCAACATTTAACTGTCACCATAGAAGTACATGTCAGCAAATGCTGATATATTATAGCTATGGTATATAGTTCCTGTAATTTTGATTCTGTTTTGAGAATTATATTTTTTGTGTGAAGGGATATTATGTGACCTTTGCACAATTTTGTTGAAGGAAAAATTAATGCTGTGCTACAGCCATTAGTCTGTAAGTGAAAGAGCAGGTGAGCTATTACTTCATGCAAGATAAGGATGTAGAAACAGAACAAAGAAAAGATTGCTGAGTTAACAAAACTCAGCAACATTTTAAATCAAGGAACTGAAATCATCAACAAATTGAAGGGAGAGAAACAGTAGCACATTCTGAAAGGGATATAAATCCTCAAAGAAGGTGAACAAAAGAGGAAGACTGCAATTCAGCAAGATCAAGGCTTAGCCTCTTTCAATGAGCAACAGCGACCAACACTTCTCCACCTATTTCTTTCACCAGGCTTGTCTGCCTTGCCAGGCAGGCAAGTTTATCAGGTGGCTGCACCAGGAACAGGGAGGATATTAATGCTAAGCCTAACACTGTATCTATCCCTGTGCATTACTGTATGCATCTGTATGCATTATTCAGTAAGACTATTGTTCTGTATTTGGAAGTTGTACACAATCCTACTTTTCAGCTTCCGTGGCCAGTAGAGGTTGATCAAATAAAAGAAATCCAAAGACCTGAGTGTTACAAATAGTGTTCTCAAAATACAGCATAGACAAATTTTAGGTTTACTCTTCCTTTTAAAGGGTTCTTCATGGAAAAATTGCCCATTTTTTCCTTTCTGAATTTGTTTAGTAATACTCTGTTACATAATCACCTTGCTGAAGGACAAAACAGAGAAGTACACATAAATGTACAGTTACATAACAGAAACTCATAGCAGTGAATTCCATCCAAACAAACTGCTAGTAAAGAAAGGCTCATGGTCAAGTCATGAGATTAAAAGACAGAAGAATCAGATTTTAATCTCAGCTATCACATACTCTTCAGTAAGATTTCCCAGACACAACCTCTTTTTACTCTTGGGCTTTTAAGCAGAAAATTTCATTTTGCATGTTTTTTCCACAACTGTCATCAAGCTATATCACATATGTCTAAAACTACCCTCAACGTCCAGATAACTTATTACACAGTTGCACAAGATGTCTATCTGGCTTTGATACCTGTGCTCTTTGTGTTCTAGTAACTGGCAATCTCGGCAGGTCAACTTGTCACAGGTTTCGCAGTAGAGCTTCAGCTGCTCCTTTTTGTGGTAAGGACAAAATACAGGGCGTTGACTGGTCACACCAACTGCCTCTGTTGAGAAAAGGAAGAGGTCAGCCCTTGAAACTCCCCAGTGCAGCCTCTGCAAATTGCTAAAGCTTTACATTCTCATGTTTTTCCTTACCATATTCCTTACCCAGATGGAAAAAGAATGTATCAAGA